TTGTTTACAAGTCTTACCAAACTTCTCTTTTTTTCTGTACAAATTCTAATGCAGTACAACAAAATGCACTTAATAATAATGCAATATTTGTACATGCTTTTTTCATTTAAAAAGAGGTAGACATAATCTATACTCCACTGCTCAAAGTTTAAATGGCTGTTTCAGTTCTGATCCTCGCCCAGAGGTTATTTTGAGCATGTTTGTGTAGGTTAAATATTCTTGATCTTACATGAGTAAATTTCCGTAATGAATCTTGAAACTGAGTTTTAGAGGGTTTTACTTTTTCTATTGCCTATTTGAATAGTACAATTCCAGTTAGACTGTCAGTGGTGCAGTGGGTAGCACTGCTGCCTTGCACCAAGATATATCTGGGTTTGATTCCCGGCCTGGAATCTTTCTGCAGGGAGTTTGCATGTTCTCCCTGAGCATGCGTGGGTTCTCTCTGGGTACTCTGGCTTCCTCCCACAGCCCAAAAACATGACTTAGGTTGATTGGCTTCTCTAAATTGTCCTTAGGTGAGTGTGTGCATGAATGGTTTGTTGCCCTGTGATGGACTTGTGCCCTGCCTCTTGCCCATTGACTGCTGGAGATAAGCACCAACACCCCTCGTGACCCCACTTGAGACAAGCGTGTAAGAAAATGGATGGATGGTATATAAAATGTATAGACTTTTATTTCAATTTATTTGGTAACATTTATAAAAAAAAAAGGCAATGGTTACCTAATATTAGTGAATAATGTAACATAATGAAGCAAAGTAAATGTCAATCAGAGAAAATAATATCTTCTTAATTTACTTCATAACAGCAAATTCTACAGGGATATAACATTTACTTAAAATTTTGAGTAAAATGCAAGTTCACTCTACTTAATTTTTTTAATAAATCTAACTTACAACTTGGATGTAATTAAGTAAATGTTACTTAATATCTTCACAACTGTTATGTTTAATGGAAAGTAAAATTCACTACTGGCAAGTGAGTGTTACTTGATATTGTAGCATAAAATTTTACTTAAATCATTTGAGTGCAAATACAATATATTTTTCAAGTAAATCTTATGAGCTTTTTTTTCAGTGTATGTGGTCCTTGAGGGCCCCTTGTTACCCGCGGGTATGTGACACCTGGTCAAGGATAAAAGCTGATTTGCCTTGCCAAGTAACCAAAACAATGAGCAAGACTAGAACTAGTATTCCCTCAAATAAAAAAAAGACATGTTTAGCCACATTGCAATGGACTGGCGACCTGTCCAGGTTGTACCCTGCCTCTCGCACATTGACAGCTGGAGATAGGCATCAGCACCCCTCTCAAGCCCACTTGGGACTAAGCGTGTTGGAAAATGGATGGATGGATGTTTAGCCACAAGTCGTCTTTCAACCACTGGTTGTCTGGTTGGTGTCCTGGGGTCCGTTTCAAAGCATGTTTACTAAAAACGTATACATTTTTTTAAACTTGAAATCAAAGGAACTTAAGTTTTCCATTTCAAAACGAGAGTTTACTCAACCTGTTTCTGTTGCCGTAGCAACATTCCACCCAGAGAATAACCTGGCCGGGAGCAGGTTTTGTTTAATAAACCTAGTGAGCTATATATCCGCCCTCCTTAGACCCAATCAGGTCATTTTATTTCCTGATTTAGTGAGAGTTGTAGCATAGTTATGTGTATACAATAATATAAAATCATTCACCAGGTCCATTAGACACATTAAGTTTTTAAAATAAATGTTAAATGTCCTTTTAGGCACCATGGAGATCTTTTTTTTTTTTCAATACACAAGAACTACTGAAATCGTTTCAGACTAACATAAATACATTATTTAATCTGATTAATTGTCTGAAGACATTCTATGGGACTGATAATCAATAATAAGATAAGACATTTATTCGGATGATAACGTCCGAAGCGACTAAACAGCCAATTAGTACTTACTGTGTGATGGAAGACAGAATCCAAATGAGGAGGAAGCCCATGAGACGATGTGCTTGTCCTACCTCTTAGAACAACATTTTTACACTTCACCTTCTCCTGCTAACAGGTGATTGCACCTAAATAGATACATTGATCCAATACCATTCAAACAATAAACTAGTTTCCTCATAATGTTATTGTGGTTACAACAGACTATGACAGGCCAATTTAATATGGATTGGTTTGACTGAATATGTGTTTCTGATATAAAAAAATTGTCTTTGTCGAAATTACATTGTTCACCTCATTCTGGATGTCTAGAAATTAATTTCAGATTTCCATATTCCTATTATGACTGGTAATTATTTGTATTAATTTGACCATCAAGAAATGTATTACAAATATTATAAATGCATATTCAGTCAGGCTGATAGGTGTCAAAAAGGCAACTTAAAATGTGTCAGTTTCTGCTGACAAGATGTAATTTAGAAAATCTACAATTATAGCTTCAATTAGGAATGCGATTTTGACCAGGAAGAATCTTATTTTAGTGATCTATAAGTGGAACAAAATAGAGGAAAGTACTTTTAATAAATGTTAAAATGGTCTGCCATAGAGGGCTGCATATTAACTTATTAACTATCAACTTTAGCAGCAATTTTTTCTCATTTGCTATCTTCCCCTCCTTTGCAACTGTAGCACTGTATCTCTGTCTTTTAAAAAAAAAAGTCTGCATTTTTCCTCATTTCTGTATTAAAATCTGTAATTGAAGTGGTGTGAAATAGGCACTTCCTGTTGCATGTTGTCATGGTGAATCGTCGAATTGGTGCTCTACTGATAATGGCTTTTCAGAAATGTTACACACATGTTCAACTCTGAGTGGACCTATTCATAGTTTATTAAACTAACCCACATCAGCTTTTATGAAACTAAAAACTCAGAGTTTACAACTTAAGGCTAGATCGATTCAGAGTTGAAGATATGAGTCTGAGTTTGTTAAACCTGCTTTGTAAAACAGATCTCTGAAGGCAATGTTGAGTTAAGTTGATAAGTGGCAGACTTTTTGGGGAAAACCTAAACTGCCTCTGACAGCTGGCACCCATTTAACAAAGTTCTTATCTCCCAAATGGTCCATTTTAGTAGATCATTATCAGATAATGAAGCAATACATTTAAAAAAATATATTCCTCACTACAGAGGGCAACCATTTAATTTATTCCCCTTCACAATTTGATCATGTTGGGGGTTAATTCTCTGTGCACTGCTATAGACAGTAGCCCCTTTAAAAGTCACTATTATATGGAAGCTGGCTTTCTGGTTTAATTTGGAGCTAGATACTTTAAAGCATATAATACTCGGGAACTATGTTTTACATCTGTACAGGAAGCCTACCTAATATGAAAACATTTCGACTGCTTTAGAAAACAACTCTTCATTAATAGATCAGAATAAGAACAATCCTATATTTCTTTTTAAACAGTTGCAAAACTCACAGAGAGCCAGACCTCTGTTGAACCATGTATTCCCCAAGCTCTTATCAGGGACTATTTTATAGTATTCTTTATAAAAACGATTTATTTTATTGAAAGTAAGATTAGTGACACCCTTATAATTAAGATTGGTTCATATCTAAAAGTTATGGCAGCATCAAATGTAACTATAGAACCTGAACTGTGATTGGACTGTTTTGATCTAGTTGAGCAACTACTTTGAGTAATTAAATGTCTTGGATTTCTGCACTGATTAAATCATATGTGTCTACCGCAAATTCTCTGACATACAGCCTTATTGTGCTTCAATGGGGATTATCTGATCCAGTGTACCGTTACCCCATATAGCTTCTCTTGTTAGCACTTAGCAGACCAAATATCAGCAGCAGTGGAAACAAAGTCGAAATCTTTAAGCGCAGATTTTAGATTTCTCTCCACCTGTGCATACCCCGTTTCCAGGTAAGATGAAAAAGATGTTCTGTGGTGCAGTCAATTTGACTGTGTGAGCTGCTGAACTGCCTTGAGCTGACATGTGTTGTAAATTGGCGCTATATAAATAAACTGAATTGAATTGAATGTTTGAGCTGGTTTTAAAAATCCATGTTTTGCCAGACCAACATATAAATCTAAGTTTTTTTTTACAGTGTTGTAAGTGATGACTCACCTGTCAGCTGAGTGTACATTTCCATATCATTTATAGCTTCAGACAGGGACAGGTGCTCATTCGCTTCAAGGAAAGCGTCTGTGATCCTGAAGGAACATTACAAATTGTAATGGTAATGATAACATTGAATGAAATACCAGGAGACACAGTTGCCACTGAGTTTCAGCAATGTCAGGGGTTTCTTACATCAACTCTATGCTGTTTTTCACTTTGTGCTGGTAGGCTCTTTTGTGTAAAGAGAACCTTGTGTAGAACATGTCATATAGATTGAACACGTCCTGTTAACGATAATCACAATGTTCAGTGGCACGTATTGTAAATCT